ACACACACACACACACACACACACACACACAATAATAAAATAAACAATGTAAATAAATTTACAAATGAAGAGATAGGTGCATGGAGGGATAGTGCCTTGCCGAAAGCCCTAGAGATGATAACTGCAAGCTGGCCTTGTATTCAGGGATTTGAATTCTTATCCAAACTTTTTCCCAGTTCTTGAAGATGACAGCCTAGATGCAAATAGGGCTCCCCCCACCCACCACCCTGAACCAGCTCTGCCTGTGTAACAGACATTTGATCTGGGGCTGGGGTGATGGGGTGTGGGGAATTAACATTGTGGTGGGAGTTGTGGACATGATGATGTTTCACACATTTATTATGCCTGAATTGAATCCACATCTTGTTTGCACTTCTCCCAGGAAGGGGTGTGTGGGAGTGCAGTGCACTGGTGTCAGAATCCAAGAATGTTCATTCTTTCAGCACAAAAATCTGTTCATTGCTATGGGGACACTGGAATGCATTCCTCCGAGGCCATAGCTGGCCACGTCATTGGTATTATGACACTACAGCTGATTCTTTTTTTTTTCTTTTCTATAATTATATTTTATTAATTTTCATAAACATTTACAGAGATTTTGGGCTTCCACTCATTCATTGTTGCACTATTCTCTCTACCCTCCTCCCAGTTTGTTCTTGTCCAAATGCCACAGTGCTTGTCAAAGCCAGGCAGAGGTAGTTTTAGATACCAGCAGTGAACGTATGATCACATGGCTAGTTATAAAGATTGTAATTGTTATTTCTTCCTTGGATATGCTCACAGATTATTTTTGTTTTCTTCACTTAGAAAAATAAGATAAACAGAACTTGTGTGTTCCTAGTGGTATGTGTGTTAGATGTATTATGCAAGGCACAAGTATGATTTTATAATATTTAATATGGTTCTATAATTACTTTTGAGAGATTTATGCTTCAAGATTATATATGGTTTAAGAGAAGTGATGGGTGCCAAATTGACATGGAGTGGACCGTGATGGTTGATGTGGTTTGTCAACATGGTGATGATCCTTAT